TCTCAAGAAGTGACGACAGTGGCCGTAGTGGGAGGTCCAGGCTGGGAGACCATGGCGCTCCGGCCCCTGCTCCCCAGCTCCTCACCCATGGCGAACCATGGTCAGTAAGCAGCCCGGGTGGATTTTCCAGTGACCTGGACTGGCCTCAGAACCCTCGGCACAGAACTCCAGACACCCAGCAGCTTGAGCTCGGGTCCCCCTTCTGCCGCACTAAGGAGCAACCATTTCACCCACAGATGGTACCTGGGCCACCGCAGGCCGGGCCCGGGGCCAGGGTGGGAACTGTCTGGTAGAATCCAGGGCTTAAGAACAGGCTGTTCACCAGCCTGCACCACCCGCGCACCCAGGAGCACCTTCCTATTTCTCGAGACCTGTGAGCCAAAGAAAAGGCCCCTGGCCCAGGGGAGTGACCGGCAGTAATGGGGCTGGCCCCGAGTGGGGAGGTTCCCGGAAACCACTGTTCTCCTTGGAGCAGCCGCCATAGGCAGCTGGGCTGTTTATTCGATTTCTGACTTGCTAAGCCTATAATTTACCTGCTGGCACAGAGTCCAGCTGCCCGAACCCTCCAATACCGTGTCATCAAAAGCAGCTCGTGGGGCTGCCCCACCCCACAGACACAACCCAGCCGAGGTGGAGTCCCCCATGTGCCCAAGGAGGAGTCCTTCAGGAGTCGCTCCGCACCCCAAGGAGGGGCCTGGACCAGCAGGTGTGAACGCTGGGGCCCTGCTGCAGGACAGTGGCCCCTCCACAGGGACGGGGAGGAGTCTGGAGCGAGCGCAGAGGGAGACCCTCCCTGTGTACACCGAGGGAGCACCCAGACTATCTGCGAGGTGGAAAGTTCCCTAGTAGCAGGGGGCTTTGACCTCAGGCTGGCAGGGATTAGAGCACAAAGTGGCTGGAGTGTCAGGAGACCCATATTTTGGTTCCAACTTGGCCACTGACCTGTTTGCTATCCGGACAAGGCCCCTTCCAGATTCAAGCTTCAGTTTCTCTTCTGTGACATGGGGACACAGGACTCCTTCCTCAGCCTGAAACCCTGACCTTCCCTTCTCTTCCACGGCCCAGACATAGCTTGAGTCTAGCTGCCACAGGATGTGAAACCTGCCATCTGGGGACCTTAGTTAATGGCTCTCTCCTCCCAACATCAAGGGCAGTAGAGGTTTGGAGACTTTGGACAAATATCAGTATTTGGTCTCTTCAGCGCCTAGCACATAACCTGGCATGCTCTGGAAAGCTTGTAAAATGAATGCTTTAAAGGTGCAGACTGCCTTGGCCACTGGGTATGCCGAGCAGGCACATCAGTACCATGATCTGAGTCTCTTTCTGTACCATCAAGCCAAAAGTAGACTGGTCATGGCCTTTCTGACAGACTTCTAGAACCTCCAGCCATCCAGGCAGCCACCAAATGGAAACCAAACAAAAAAGGCGTCAGAGAACAATGGATGCAAAGTCAGTAAAGGGACAGCCATCTTGTTTCCATGCTTGCCCCGGCAGCCCAGGCTTCCTTCAAGGCTGCACATGAGAAGCCTAAGGCTGGTCAGCTCAGGCCCACTGACAGCAAAGGAATGCTTCCAGGAAGAAAGGCCAGAGGAATAGCCAAGTTTGGAGCCCTTAGTGTGTGTGTGTTGGGGGGGACGCTGCTCTGTGTGCCTCCCCCCACCCCAGTGCATCTCCAGCATCACAGCACGGCCCTGGCCGGATGCCAGCCCATCAGGCAAAGCCCTGTTCTTGGGTCTCTCTGAAGGGACGTGGGTAACATGCTTTAAGAAATGCCCAGAACTGCACGGGAAAGGGGGCTGTGAATAAGGCAGGGTGGGTTTTGGAGCCAGGAGACCTGGCATGGAATCCTGGCAAACTGACCAAATTCTGTAATGTCTGAGGTAGAGGATTTTTCCCTCTGAATGGGGTATCGGTTCTGCCCTTGCAAGGCCATCAGGGGCAGACCAGGTGGGATCTGCTGCGTCCACGAAAGCACTCGGCACGGCGTCTGCATGGTGCCCAGTGACCAGCATCTGCCAGAGGTCTTAGTTTGAATGAATGTGTGTATCTGGGCCTCCCCTACTGGCCTTGCTGTTAACACCTGCTCCTCCCAGAATATGTCCAGGAGATGCTGTGTTCACTTTAAAGCTGCACTTTTCCTAAAAAATCTAAATGTGGTCCTATCTCAGGAGGAGGTAGGGACTCGCACAGTCCCCTGCCTGCGGAAGTCCCAGCCTGCAGGGACAAACAGGGACTCACAGTGAGCCATGCGGCTCGGCACCTCTGCTGAGGACGCGGCTGTTGTGTCCCCACCCCCTCCTGACATCCAGCAACCACCTGTGACCTCCAGGAAGCTGAAGCGCGGGTGTTCTGGAATTTCTCTTCTTACTGGGAAGCCCTGAGCAAGCACTTGGTTCTTTAAAAAAAAATTTTTTTTTCCTAGCTGAAGAAAATATTGTGTGCGTGCCAGGGAAATTTTTGAAAATAAAAGGCAAAATACAAATATACATAATCCCAGCACACAGAGCTAAGCATTGTTAATAATCCCTTCCAGTCTTTTTCCTTGACACACACGTCTGTCTTTATATAGAATATATGGATATTTTGCAAAGTTAGGATCATATTCTATGCACTACTTGATCTGATTTACTCAATCTATGATATATTTAGAAAATGTGTTATTAAATCTTCTTTGAAAACATAACTTGCAGCATCCTATCCCTTGACCTTTACCCCAGTTCTGTCACCGTTCTTTCCCTGGAGGCAGGTGTGGGGCACCCACGACCCTGCTCTCGGGAGCCCCGGCCCAGCCCCGGAAAGGCAGGCAGCCGCGTGCTCAGGTCACCAGCCAGAAACCGCGGGACCCTGCATCTCACCACCTGCGGAGGGGGGTTACGGGTGGACCCCTGTGGTGGGGAAGCCCTCGCACAACACAGAGAGTGCGGCTGCCACCCTGTGGTTCCCGGTCCGCCAGCTTCCTAGACAGGCTGTCCCTGCTGGTCCTGCCTTCCCAGGGCGACTAGGGAAGCAAAGTAAGGGACCCGGCCCTTCCACCTCCCAGGTTCACAGGGTTGTGACGGGTCCTCCCTCCTGGGGCTTCAGGCCAGCCTGCTCCCCTTCCCCGCATGCCCTCTGAGAGCCAGCCTTGTTGAGGACTTGGCAGACCTCTCTCCTCTCGCAGGCGTCACACCAGCCCCGAGCAGCTGCCATTATCCTGGCCTCATCGCTGCCTGTCCTGACAGCCATGACTGAGCAGCGGTGAGAGGGAGGCCTGGGTTAGGGAGCGAGGGTCCCTGCTGGGAATCCTGCAGGTGGAGATCCCAGCCACAGGGGTGAGCCCCAGCCCACCAGATGGGGACGAGTCCCACCCAAAAGCAGAGGCCAAGGTTGGCCTAGGATGCCAGAGACGGGGCTAGCAGCATCCCCTCCCCCACAGGAGCTGGCCTGGGGTCACAAGCCAGCAGGCTTCTCTCCTCCCTTCCAGGCTCAACCTGACTTCAACCCAAAATGAGAGCCAGCCCTGCCCAGCGGTTCCTGAGTGTCGAGCCTTACCTAGAGCCCCTGGCCGGCAGCAGGGGAGCGGGCGGCAGCCCTGGACATTGTTTCTGGTGACTGATGGGACATGCTGGGAGGTTGCCCGGCTGCCAAACACTGGTGTAGGCAGCGTGGTGTGCCACACTACAAGCTGTGGCACCAGACTTCAATTTCCACTGGTTCTGGGGTCCGGAGATGGGAAGCATCTCTGGCTGACTCCCCAGCACCAAGCACACGGCTGGCAGGAGGCCTCCCGGCCTTCTCAGTGCGACAGTGCCGACCATCGGGTCAGTGACTGAACAGGTGGCCTGGTGCCCATCACACTCACGGCCACGTGTGAGGGCGCCAGTGGAGCCTAGCTCAGCTACCTTGCTGGCCCGGGAGCAGGGGACAGGAGGACCGAGGCCCTCATGCACCAGCTCTGACCTCGGCTGCCTGCGGAGGTCGGACAAGGGTGGGAGACGGCGGGGGAGGGTCCCTGGCCTGTCCCAGGAAGATGGTCCAGTCACAGCTGCAACCTCTGCAAACTCCTGGGACCTGGCTGGCGGGCAGCGGCACAAAAGCTAGGACTTATGTTATGGGAAGCGATGCCCTCAGAGGGGTGTGTGTGCACACTGCTGACAGCCCCTTGAGCAGGCAGCTCAGAATCTAGGACAACACCATGTGGATCCCTTAGTTTTTCGCTCAATGGACAGTCAAGGAAATGGTGAGCAGAGCTGCTTAAATCATTTTAGATTGGTTTGTGCTTTCATTTCTACTTTGTAACCCCGGTGTAGCTCACAGTCTAGCCACTCAAAAGGTAACTGTGGATTCGTCTCAGGAACGCAAAACTGGTTTAACATCCAAAAAGCAATACAATACAGCACCTTAACAGAATAAAGTGCAAAAGACACACAATCCTCTCCATAGACACGGAAAATGCACGTTATAAAACCAACACCTTCTCATGATAAACACTCAACAAACAAGGAATAGAAGGGAACTTCCTCAGTCTGATAAAGAGCACCTACAGAAAACCCCCACATGGTGAAGACCAGGTATTTCCCCCCTTAAAGGCAGGGATAAGACCAAGATGTCTGCCCTCACCACTTCCATTCAACATTGTACTAAAGGTTCTAGTCAGAGAAAATGGCAAAAAAATGAAGTGAAATTTGCAGAGGACATGATCTGGTATACAAAAAATCCTAAGGAATTCACTAGAAAACTATTAGGACTAATAAATTCAGCAAGGTTGCAGAATACAAGATCAATATACAAAAATCAATTTCTACACTCTAGCAATGAACAATCTGAAAATGAAATCAAGAAAACAGTTCCAGGGGTGCCTGGGTGGCTCAGTCAGTTAAGCATCTGCCTTTGGCTCAGATCATGGTTCCAGGGTGCTAAGATCGAGCCCCATGTCGGGATTCCTACTCAGCGGGGAGCCTCCTTCTCCCTCTCTGCCTGTCACTCTCCCTGCTTCTGCTATCTCTCTCTCTGTCAAATAAATAAATAAAATCTTTGAAAAAAGAAATAACCCCATTTCCAATAACAGCAAAAAAATAAAAAACTTAGGAATAAATTCAACACCCTCGCTTCTGCCCTCTGCTGGCCCCGCAAAATGTCTGGGTCCCTGACCTTGCGAGATCCCTGCCTCCTTCTCCACATTCCTTGTCCCTTGTAGGCCAAGGGTAGGCTGGCTTTGCCCAATAAAGAGGTTTCCTGAGGGAAAAAAAAAAAAAAGAAGAAAACAAAAGAAAAAGTGTAGGCTTATACTCTGATAACTGTAAAATATTACTGAAAGAGGTGAAAGGAGACCTAAACAAATGGAAAGACCCCCATGTATGGACTGGAAAACTTAATACTGTTAAGATGGCAACACTTTCCAAACTGATCTATAGAAGCAGTGCAACCTCTATCAAAATCCCAGCTGGTTTTTTTGCAGAAATTGACAAGTTATTCCCAAAATTCATGTGGAAATGCTAGAGACCTAGAATAGGCAAAACAATCTGAAAAAAAGAACAAAATCGTGGAGGACTCACACTTGCCAAATTCAAAATGTACTATGGAGCTGGAGGATACATGACAGCATGGGACTGGCATAGGACAGATCTAGAGATCAACGAGACAGAATAGAAAGGCCAGAAATAAAACCCAGGGATGGTTTTATTGGCATCAACAGGGATGCCAAGACATTTAAACAGGAAAAGAACAGCCTTTTCAACAGATGATGCTGCAACAACTGGGCATCCACATGCAAAAGAAGGAAATGAGACCTCTTTTCTCACACTATAACACAAAAATTAACTCAAAATGGATCAAAGCCCTAAATGTAAGCGCTAAGCCATAAAACTCTGAAAAGAAAATATAGGAGTAAATCTTCATAATCTTAGGTTAGGCAAAACTTTCTTAGTTATGATGTCAAAAATATGCTGATGGAAGAAAAAATAGATAAATTGGACTTCAGCAGAATTAAAACATTTGTGCTTCAAAGCACACTGTAAAGAAAGAAAGACAACATCCCAAGGAATGACAGAGAACACTTGCAAATCATGTATCTGATAAGAGACCCATACCTAGAATATTCAAAGAATTCTTGCAATTCAATAATAAAAAATGGGTGAGGGGCGCCTGGGTGGCTCAGTGGGTTAAAGCCTCTGCCTTCGGCTCAGGTCATGGTCCCGGGGTCCTGGGATCGAGCCCCGCATCGGGCTCTCTGCACAGCGGGGAGCCTGCTTCTCCCTCTCTCTCTGCCTGCCTCTCTGACTACTTGTGATCTCTCTCTGTCAAATAAATAAATAAAATCTTAAAAAGAAATGGGTGAAGGATCTGAACGGACACTTTCCCAAAGAAGATACACAAATGGTCAATAAACACATGAAAAGATACTCCGTATCATTAGCCATCAGGGAAATGCAAAACAAAACCAGAGTGAGACTGCACTGCCTACCATTAGGATAACACAAAGGGAATATAAAAGAGACCGTATGCGGGGCAGCGGGCGTGTACAGAAAACCGGGAGTCCTCACAGGCTGCGGGTGGGAATTCCAAATGGTGCAGCATTTGGGAAATGGCCCAGCAGTTCCTCAAAATATTAAAATTGGTTATTGGTTATCCTCAAAATATTAAAACATGGTTATCATGTGGCCCAGCGTATCTGCCTGGGAGAAATGAAAACATGCGTCCACACAAAAACTTACACATGCGTGTTCACAGCGGTGTTACGATACCCGGGAGTATAAACACCACAAATGTCCATCTACTTAAGAATGGATAAACAAACTGTGGTCTATCCATACACTGAATATTCGTTGGCAATAAAAAAGAATTACGTACCGATACTGCTATACCAGAGATGAACTTTTTTGAAGACATTACGCCAAGTGGAAGCCAGCCACAAAAGGCCACATACTGTGTACTTACACTTACATGACATGTCCGGAATAGGAAAAAAACCAGGAAGACAGACAGTAGACTGGTGTTTGCCTTGGGCTGGGGGACAACACAGGGAATGCTAAAGGGTGTGAGGTTTTCTTTTGTTGAAAAATGTTCTCAAATTATTTGTGGTAATGACTGCATAACTATGAGTACAGCACAAACCACTGAGATGTATACTTTAAATGGGTGAACTGAATGGTATGTGAACTGCATCCCAGTAACGCTCTTTAAAAAAAAAAAAAAAATCAGGCGCCTGGGTGGCTCAGTGGGTAAAGCCTCTGCCTTCAGCTCAGGTCATGATCCCGGGGTCCTGGGATGGAGCCCCGCATCGGGCTCCCTGCTCAGCAGGGACCCTGGCTCCCCCGGCCCCCCGCCCCCCACCTGCCTCTCTGCCTACTTGTGATCTCTGTCAAATAAATAAATCTTTTTTTAAAAAAATCATGCTACAGAACAGCAAAGCCTAGTGGCACAGATACTTGCTTAGCAAATGGAAGCAAAAGACACAGTCACCTACGTGCATGTGTGTCACACACAAACACACAGGTTACAGTACCATGGAAGGCTTTAGGAGGAGGTAACATCTGAGTTTAAAAAGCCCAGGTTTGGCAGGGGCTGAGGAGAGTGGAGTCCACGGAGCTCTAAGTTCGTGGGTGTTAACGAGAAGCCAGCTCTCCATGGCTGGGCCTCGAGACGGCGTGCTCCCTTTGGATGGTGACCGTGTCCCCTTCCACTCTCAGTGCTGGTGGTGATCAGGGCTGACACGCAACAAATCAGCTCGTGAACCTCCGCTTGAGATATTTAAGTATTTATTTACGCTGTTTAGAATACAGCAGTGATTAAGACAGTGTCCTGTCTTATGAGTCTCATGAGGCTAATATTAAATATACGAGGAAAACCAAAGCTGATGAGAAAGAAGGGATGACAGGAATGCCCATTCTAGAGAGCAAGGGCAGGACAGGCCTCTCGCACAAGGGGCATGGCACCTGAAGGAAGTGAGGGGTGAACCCTGTCCACGCCAAAGGAAGAATGTTCCAGGAGAGGAGGTGGCATGACCAAGGCCCTGAGGGGGAGTGAGCTGTGACATGAAGACTGCCATGGGGACAGAAGGCGGAGCAGCACATTTGGGGAGCTTGGGGCGGTGCCAGGCCCCAGGCCAGTGGGTCCCCCTGGATGCCACATGTGCGAAGCAGCCACGGGAGGGCTCTCGGCCGGGGAGGGACGTGAGCAGGTTTCTGTTTGGAAAGGATGCTCTCTGCCTTGCACACCGATCCGGAAGGGAAGAGGCAGAAGTGGAAACACAGAGACAAGTGTGAGGACCTGGTGCTCGCGGAGGGAGGGTGAAGAACAGGTGGACCAAAGAGCGACTGAAAAGACACGTGGGTCTGACGTGTGTGGCGGAGGAGAGGGGTCGAGGATGATGCTAAGCTGAGCAGGCAGCTAGGTGGGCAGCGGTGGCGCGGACAGAGACAAGGAAGAGGGGAGGAAGCATCTGGCAGGGAAGCAGCAAGAGAGCCCGTGAGCTCTGAGATGCCCCATGGGGACCAGCATGGCTGATGGGAGGGCAGGAAGCCCTGGGGCTGGAAGGGACGGGCGAGGGCGCTGGTTCTAAATAGGGTAAGACTGCCCCCTCGAGGCTACTTGGAAACTTCAAGGTTATGTTTTGGTTGTCAGTAATCCTGGGGTGATATTGGCATTAGGGAGAAGGGAGCAAGCAATCTAATTGTCTTGCAATGTCCCACGTAAGGAAGAATAAATCTTTTTCTTTTCTTTTTTTTTAAGTAGGCTCCCTGCCCAGCACAGAGCCTAACATGGGGCTTGAACTCATGACCCTGAGATCAAGACCTGAGCTGAGATCAAGAGTTGGACACTTAACTGACTGAGCTACCCAGGCGCCCTAAGGAAGAATTATTCTTAATCCTCTCAGACTTTCAAATGCCCTGAGAAACATTCATGAAGCAGAGAAAAATCTTAAGAACCTAACTCCATTTTAAATATAAATCCAAAGACTTATAGGGGCTCCTGGGGGACTCAGCTGGTTAAGTGGCCAACTCCTGGTTTTGGCTCAGGTCATGAACTCAGAGTCCTGGGATCAAGCCCTGCATTGGGTTCCACACCCAGTGGGGAGTCTGCTTAAGATTCCTTCTCCCTCTCTGTGTGCCCCACGACCCCCCCGCCCCACTCTAAAATAAATTTAAAAAAAAAATTTTTTTTAAAGATTTTATTTATCCATTCAAGAGAGTGAGCAAGTCGGAGAGCACAAGAGGGAGAAGAGGGGGGAGAGGCGAGGGAGAAGTGGACTCCCCACTGAGCAGCGAGCCTGATGCAGGACTCGATCCTAGGACCTTGGGACCACGACCCCAGCTGAAGGCAGATGCTTAACTGACTGAGCCACCCAGGTGCCCAATAAATAAATAAATCTTAAAAAAAGAAAAAACTTTATTTTTTGCATTGAATTTTTCCAGAAACAGACCTACCACATAAACTGAGGAAACAATTAATTATTTTCTTTTTTTCTTAAAGATTTTATTTATTTATTTGACAGAGAAAGGTCACAAGTAGGCAGAGAAGCAGGCAGAGAGAGAGGGGGAAGCAGGGTCCCCACTGAGCAGAGAGCCTGATGCAGGGCTCGATCTCAGGACCCCGAGATCATGACCTGAGCCAAAAGCAGAGGCTTAACCCACTAAGCCACTCAGGCGCCCCTAATTTTTTTATTTTGTTCAGAATTTTACCAAGAGATTTTCAGTTTCAGAAAATCACAGTACTGTGATCCTGCCAACAGAATACCCCTGTATCTGTCCGCCCTGCTCACCGTGGCTCTAGGCAGAAGTGCACGTTTAAATATTTCACATGGGGCGCCTGGGTGGCTCAGTCATTAAAGGTCTGCCTTCAGCTCAGGTCATGATCCCAGCATCCTGGGATCGAGCCCCACATCAGGCTCCCTGCTCAGCGGGAAGCCTGTCTCTTCCTCTCCCGCTCCCCCTGCCTGTGTTCCCTTTCTCGCTGTCTCTGTCAAATGAATAAATAAAACCTTAAAAATAAATAAATAAATAGATAAATATTTCACGTTTAGTTGTGTCCAAGCATTTAACATACTATTTTTTTAGAACTCACTTTCACTTTTTTATCATATTATAATCATGACATAACACTATTTTCTAAAAACTACGTGTTGGAAAGATCCAAGAGCTGGGACTTTCATTTCCACTGAGTAAAGAAGCAGGTCCAAGAAGCAGACACTGGGCTAAGAGGTTAAGAAACCACAAAGGGTTGAGCTCTGCGTCCCTGCAACACCTCAGCGGTCGGGCAGGAGGAGGAGACAGGAGACAGGCGCAGCAGCCAAGGAGGATCTGAGTGGCGGCCCAAGTGGACTGCAGTGATGCTCGGGAGCCACTCAGATCTCCTTCAAGACCAGCCCCCTCACTCTCTCACCTCCCGGGAGCCTGAGACGCTACCAGGCCCGGGAGAAGCTGCATCTCAGGAAATGTCCTCGGCAGAAGGGAGCCGCTCACCCCTCTTGGGAACTGGCCGGAATTCATGACCCAGGGAGGGGGGTTTCAGAGGCCTGGCCCCCAGGCCTCAATTCAGAACAAGTCAAAAGGGCTATCAAAGCGCCAGTGTCCCCCTGGGACCAGCCGAGGCTTCAGTGTGACTGCACGGTGGCTCCATTTCCCTCTCTGCCCAATCTGCTCCCCTCATGCCCCTACAAGAGTGGTCCCTGAGATCCCTCCCTGATAAGCTTTCCGCGTGCAATCCTCCAGGAGTCTGTTTCCCACAAAGTCTGACCTAAATTATAGCCAAAAACTGAAGAAAAAAAAAATCAAGTAGCGGTAACGCGAGTGTGTTTTTCAGAAATAGAGCAATAGAAGCCAAAATAAACATCTAACAGAAATCAATGTTGCCTTTGGGAGGCAGAAAAATTACGATATTGGGGAGGGAGCAGAAGAACATCACGTTATGACAAACTTCACAATGATTTTCTTTAAACTGTGTGCAATGATGACGTCGATTAACATTTTTAAAAGGCTGAATTTAAACAAAATGATTACGGGTAAAAATGATCATTAAGAATATGTAAGAAAATAGGAAACATACAACACCTGTGAATAGCAGCTACCTCAAAGAGATGGGGGGGTGGGGGAGGGGGGAGCCGTGAGGAGAAAAAAATGTCAGCTTTCAATTTAAAGCCTACAGATAGACGCTTCAAAGTGGGGAAAGTTGGCAGCCGGCTCCTTAAGCAAGCGGCTGAAGTTAACATCACAAATACTAGGAGTGACATCTTCACGCACGTCCTTACGTGATGCACTAGTGAGGTGTTCCGGGGAGAGAATGTCACTGGGAAGTACCAGGCAAACACTGAGAAACGGTCTTAAAAACAGGCCTGTTCTCTTCAAAGTCATCGAGATCAAGAAAGACACCAAGACCCTGCTCCAAACAGAGGGAGACTAGAGTCCGGACCCTGCCTTGCAGCGTGAGTCCTTGCCAGGGAAGGACAACAGCTACGGTTACTAGAAAGGACAGTACTGGGGAAGGGGACGAAATCTGAGCACGGCCTGAAGACGAGGAAACAGTGCACGGATGCTCGATTTCCTGATTTTGATGGTCACGCTGTGATCACGTAAGGGAACATTCTTGTTCTTAGGAAATATATACTCAACTATTTAGGGGTCAAGAGGCATGATATCTTCAACTTCCTCTCAACTGGCAGAGTAGGGGGGAAGTATATCTATCTGTGTGTATAAATTAAATGGAAAAGAGTAGGAGGCAAAAATAAATTAATGAGTGGATAAAGGCTATATGAGTTCCCTGTACTATTCTTACAGAATTCTTATTCCACTTATCTGTAAGCCTACAAATATATCAAAACAAAACTACAAAAAAAAAAAAAAAAAAAAAACAGTTTATGAGTTTCAACTGCCTATTCTTTGTAATGGTCCCTAAGCCTTTATAGAACTTCAAAACTGTGTGCTCAGGCTCATGTGATGAGATGTTAGGGTCCCGGATGCCTCGGAAGGGCTCAGTTAAAAAGTGCTAAAGTCTCCAATTCCAGGCAGCTTCCTCCCCAGCCTGCTCGGCCTCCAGCGTCCTGCCCCGAGTCCCGCTCACCTGCCATCACGGGGACAACGTCCGGACGCAGCAGCATCTGGATGCGGCCGGCTGGCTTGTTCCCAGTCTTGGTGTCCATGTACACCTGAGGGTTTGAGCGGGCCTTTTTTGCCATGGGCTCCCCCTGGACGCAGAAGAAATGGTTAGGTTGGAGAGCACCCCGCCTCCCCAAGTCAGAGACTGAGTCTTCCGCATCCACACCAAGAACCCAGGTGTGGGGAGTGGGCTGCAGCCAGGTGCTTTCGGGGAAGGTCTGGGGCCGCAGAAGGGGAGGTGGAAGGCAGCTGCCAGCTGGACCCCCAGTGATAGGGACCCCCCCCACACACACACATTGCTGCACCCTGGTCCAGGGTCACTGAACCCCACCTCCCTGGCCTGCAGTGCACCACTCTTCACACCTGCAAATCCAAGTTCAGGAGCGCCTGAGTGACTCAGCCGGTTAAGCACCTGCCTCCGGCTCAGGTCATGATCCTAGGGTCCTGGGATCAAGCCCTAGGTGGGGCTCCCTGATCACTGGGGAGCCTGCTTCTCCCTCTCCCTCTGCCACTCTCTCTACTGCTCCTCCTGCATATAGTCTCTCTGTGTCAAATAAATAAAATCTTTTAAAAAAAACAAAAAAATGAAAAACAACCCCAGTTCAAGCCCACCCGCCTTACTCGAGTCACAGGGACCCATGACCTCCCTCCATGCCGCGCCCTACAGGTCCTAGCCTGGCTGCAGCAGAAGCAGAAAGGGCCAAGCTGGGCTGGGACCCCAAGCACCCAGGAGACAACAAGGAGGTCGGGCCTTGTCTTGAGCTCCGAGTGCACCGGGATGACTCACTGAGAGATACAGCAACCAGTACAAACCCTACTGTCGTTTGCTAGAGGAAACCTTGGTCTCTGAGCTATCTGTGGTGTGATGAAGAGGTCGATATAAATGTGTTGAGCTTGTAGGCCAAGTACTGGAACTGTGAAATCGGGCCCCTGAGGACCTGGCCCAGCGGGGGAGCGCTGGCCTCAAGGGCACGGGAGGCGCAGAGCCCTGGCCCCACACAGCCTCCATTCCCATCGCAGGTCCACCACCACTTCGGAGCTGCGACATGTTGGGCAAGTTATTGGCTCTCCCTGGGCTCAGTTTTGTCACCTTGAGTTGGAGACAGTAGTAGTACTTACCTCCAAGGATTATCATCAGGATTCAATATTGGTAAAGCACTTAGGACAGTGCCTGGTACAGAGTAAGTAGCATTTCAACATCTATAATATAAATACTATCAAAATAATGCTGAAAATGCCAGGACTGGGGGTGCCTGAGGGGTCCAGGGCCCACGGAAGCCCAGAAGGGACCTTATCTCACTCCACTGGAGGAGTCAGAAAAGTTTCCTGGCAAAGGTAGCGACGGAGCTCAGCGATGAAAGGTGAGTAGGAGTGAGCGAGATAAAGTCGGCTGGAAAGGGAACTTCCAGGCCAAGGAACTACTTATGTGAAAACACAGATTTCTAAGGACCTACAAACTCTGTCCTAGAATGCCAAATGGGGACACAATGTGGAGAAGTGAGTGGGGTCCAAACATGGAGGGTCCTTCTGGGCCCCTGAAGGAGCCCGGACTCATCGCTGCAGAAAAGGAGTCCTCAGGCGGCTTGGGGAGAGCCATACGGCCTGCTCTGAGCCTCGGAAAGCTCCCTCTGGCTGCTCAGGACAGGAGCAAAGAGACCCAGGGCGGGGACATCAAGCTAGGGAGCAGCTGTCACTATTCTTAGGAGCGATGAGAGAGGCTGAGCCAAGCCCCTGCGGCGGGAACGAACAGGAGAGAAGATGCGAGCAGACGCAGAGGGAACATTAGCAGGGTATATGGCAACACAGCAGGTGTGGACGGTGGTACGGGGCCGGAGACGGCGCAGAAGTCCCTGGTTTGGGAGGCTGCGGGAGACACCAGAATTCACTCAGATCGGGGACTCAGGATGGTCAGGCCGGAAGGAGAGAGGAAATCCAGTTAGCACATACTATGCTGATCTATGGTGACTGGGAGAGAGGAAATCCACTCGGGACAGGCTCTGTTGATTTATGGTGACTGGGAGACATGCAGGCAGAAACACATGAACCTCAGGAGAGAGGTCAAGGCTAGCCCTGGACATCAGGAAATCAGCAGCAGGCTGAGTGGCTGTGATAAGCCCAAGCACAGGCCACAGTGGCTGAAATTGCAGGGACAGCGTGCAGAGAGGAGCCGAGGGCTAAGCGAGGAGCTCCCACAAACACCGCTGCTCCAAGGGTGGACAGATGAGGGGGAGCTCGCTTATTTACTCCCAGAAGCAAGGGTCGCGATGGGGTATGGAAACGCAGGAGAAATTGCTGAGGCAGGAAGCGCCTGGCACCTGGTACATTCTGAGGGGCTGGGGCCTCTCTGGAATCAGGCCAGGAATAGGAAGACAGCGAGCTGGTGCCAAAGGCTTCAGTGAGGCTGCAGGAAAGGTCAGGAGGATGGCGGGTGCTGGTGAGGGGGTATCCGCACAGTCCTTTCTCAGCTCAGACCCCCATCTAGCAGTCACAAGCCGGTACCCAAGCGCGCACAGCAACTTCTCACCCAGAGCCCCGCATGGAGGAGAAAGCCTCCTCTCAGCTTCTCCTCTCAGCTCACCTGGAGCTGCCCACCTCAGAAGCACTCTGGGTGGAAAGTGCCAGCCCTTCTGGGGAGGGGCATGCCTTCCATCTCACCTCCTGGGTTCCCCTCTGGCAGGCTCCGACCCTTCTTCCTCTCTATTCTCTTCGAGAGTCTTCCCGGAAAACTTCTTCGGGCAGTCATCACTGCCCACACTGAAAGGAAAGAATCAAACAAATGCTCAGAAATTCCAGCTGCTGGCCCACTGCTCGTTAGCTGTGCCCAGTCCTTCGCTATTCTGTCGGCAAAGTGGACGCCCCGTGGGGCTCTCATGAAGAGGCAGACGAGAGAACCAAAGCAGGACTGAGCCGAGCCAAAAGGGAAGTCCCAGCCGCTGTCAAGGCTGGAAGGGCACAGTCTGTGTCTACGTCCCAGAGCAAGACTTGCATGGGGACAATGGCTCTAGCTTTGCCGAGAATCTCAGCCTCTGTTTCCAGGGAGCTGCCGCACTCCCTTCCCCGCCGTCCACCCCTCTACCCGTGGACACGTGCCACCGTGGCAGCAAATGTCCCTAGCTGTGTCTCTAATAAATAAATAAAAATCTTAAAAAAAAAAAAGAAAAAAAGGCAGCAGAGGCCAAAGCTGAGGACATGACGAGGAATCTGCAGTTGTCCCCACTCCCCTGGTCACGATGAGCCTTCCTTAATCCTCACCAGGCTGGCTAAATGGACACGAATTGTCCGCCTACAGAGTTCAATTCATTCTGAAAAGACTGCAATACAACTCAGCTGCTTAAACCTTGTTTTTTTTTTTTTTTTAAGGTTTTATTTATTTATTTGACAGAGACTGTGAGAGAGGGAACACAAGCAGGGGGAGTGGTAGAGGGACAAGCAGGCTTCCCGTCAAGCAGGGAGCCTGACTCGGGGCTTGATCCCAAGACCCTGGGATCATGACCTGAGCTGAAGGCAGATGCTGATCGGCTGAGCCTCCCAGGTGCCCCTTAAGCCTTGTTTAAAAAAAAAAAAGGACACCTGGGTAGCTCAGTCATTAAGCATCTGCCTTCAGCTCAGGTCATGATCCCAGGGTCCTAGGATCGAGGTGCATATCGGGCTCCCTGCTCGGCAGGAAGCCTGCTTCTCCCTCTTCCACTCCCTCTGTTTATGTTCCCCCTCTCTCTGTGTCTCTCTCTGTCAAATAAATAAATAAAATCTGGGGGGGGGGGAAGATTCCATTTACTTCTAAGAAGTCTGAGACTTGCTCATGATTAATTCCGCACTGAGAGCCCACACTCCCCCAATGGCAAGCTAAGCACAAAGCTAAACTATCCCTGAGCCACCACACACTTCTTTTTTTTCAACACCAACAGGAAGTTCTGTGCTGGCATGTTCGGATCTGAGCTCAGAACTTGGAAATTATAAGGGTAAATGCAGTTACCGTGTATTGAGTCCACTTTAAAAAATCAAGATCAGAGGTACCTGGGTGGCTCAAGATCAGGAGTACCTTTGGCTCAGGTCATGATCTTGGGGTCCTGGGATCAAGCCCCACATAGGGGCTTGTGGGGAGTCTGCTTCTCTTTCTCCCTGGCCCCCAACAAGTTCTCTCTCTCTCAAATAAATAAAATCTTTATGAAAAAAATCAAGATCAGCACTAAATGGGAGACAAAACAGTATTGCTGGCTGGTGGGGGCCATGTCTGATGAAAGAGTAACAGAGAACATGGAACAATGTATAGGAATATTTTATTATCCAAGAATAATTGATACTGGGAAAAGATAAGTAGATAGATTTTTTTTAAAAGGTTTGTGGGGCACCTGGGTGACTCAGTTGATTAAACGTCTGCCTTCAGCTCAGGTCATGATCCCAGGGTCCTGGGATCCAACCCCACGTTGGGCTCCCTGCTCACCAGAGAGCCTACTTCTCTTCTCCTTCTACCTGCCACTCTGCCTACTTGTGCTCTCTGTCAAATAAATAAATAAAATCTTTAAAAATAAAAAGGTTTGGTTTTTTTCATGAAAACTAAAAAAAAAAAAATCTTAATTTAATGAGATAGTCATAATTAGAGCTATCCTCTTACTCTTAAAAACACAGATGAATCAAGTACTAATTTCACTTCTAGCAATTAAGAAAAAATTGAACAATAGCATGACATATCCTTATTTCATATTCAGTCATGAAGACTGATCATAAGGAAAATAAAAGATTGATCATAAAGATAAAAAAGGGAAGGGTGCAAACATTTAAGAGTTGTTGTAGGCAAAATAATGGTGCCCTCAAGATGTCCACAGCCATTCCCCAGAACCTATGAGTATGCAGAATTACATGGCGAGAAGGAAGTAAGGTTGCAGACGGAATTAAGGTCGCTAGTCTGCTGACCTTAAAATAAGGATATCATACTGGATTACTCCGATGCACCAAGGGTGATCATAGTGGGGCTCGAAACGTGCAGAGGGAGGAGGAATTAGTTTCAGAGCGATATAGTGTGAGAAACACTCACCTGGCCACTGCTGGCTTGAAGACAGAAGGAACCAAAAGCCAAGGAATGAGGTCAATCTCTACAAGCTGGAAAATGCAAAAAAAGAGACTCTCCCTAGACCCTCCACAAGGAATGAAGTTCTGCTCACTCAGTGAGACCCACTCTGGACTTGTGACTTCTAGAACTGTAAGATAATGCATTTGTGCTGTTTTGGTTTTTCTTTCTAAGATTTTACTTGATTATCTGACAGAAAGATGAACACAAACAGGGCGAGGGAGAGGGAGAAGCAGGCTCTGCGCTGAGCAGGGAGCCCGATGTGGGGCTCGATCCCAGGACCCTGGGGTCATGACCTGAGCCAAAGGCAGATGCTTAACCGACTGAGCCACCCAGGTGCCCCCATTCATGGTGGTTTTTTTTTAAGATTTTATTTATTTATTTGACAGAGAGAGATCACAAGTAGGCAGAGAGACAGAGAGAGGAGGAAGCAGACCCTCCACCGAGCAGAGAGCCCGATGTGGGACTGGATCCCAGGACCCCGGGATCATGACCTGAGCTGAAGGCAGAGGCCCAACCCACTGAGCCACCCAGGCGCCCCCGTTCACGGTGTTTTTAAAGCCACTAAACTGGTGGTAATTTTTTAGAGCAGCCGTAGGAATTTAAATCATTTTCTTCTGAAGCACTTGGCCTATCACAATCCTTGCAGGGTTTTTTTGGTTTAACTTTATGAGACAGCCACTTTTCAAGGGCTCAAAAGAGTCTCTGCTCTGTTGACCAGAGCCGACCACAGCCGTTTTCCATGATCATTTTCACACGCTTCACGGAACCCCGCCTCTGGCACCGGCTTCACAGTTTACACTGCAAGCCATTTACCCTCTATTTGCAGTACATCGCCCTAGACTGGAGGCCAGCAAACTTTCCGTCAAGAGCTAGATGGTAAATATTTTTTGTGGGTCATACACGGTCCCTGCTGCATATTCTTACCCCCCTCCACAACCCATTAAACATATAAAAAACGACTTAGCTCACAGGCCATACAAAAACAGGCTGTAGGCCTGATGTGGGCTGTTGTCCTAAGTTTGCTGACCCCCAACACAGATGCAAACATGTCAGGGAGAGATTGGCCAACACCGACGGTTGGCATTTATGCAAACGTTCAATGGAAAGGATTTGTGAATAATAATTCATTTTGTAAGTAGCCAGTTCCCAGTGACACTCTTCCCATAATGACAACTTTTGCTGCGTAGACAACTTTGAAACTATGGAAACTGGAAACACGGTGGGTGCCCGAGGGTCTCCTGTATCCTCAGAGAGTATCCCAGAAGGGCTTCAGCAGAAAGCAGAGACTCTCAGCCAGGCCAGGCTGTCGGCTGCTGTGAGCACCCCACTAAGAGACCAAGAGTTCATGCTCACAGTCCCACTCTTCCTGTGGCTTGCACTGAAATAAAACCTCAGTAGCATGAGCACAGGAAAAAAAGACACATTTTCCTTTCCGACCTACCCACCACCGAGGTTAGACACATTTAACAAACAGCGCGCACTAACTGCTCGTTAGAGCTGGTGATGTGAGAACGTGTGTTCAGGTTAGGGGAGCAGAACACACACAGGAGCCAGGAGTGGCAACGCCAGGCCCCAGAAGGCTTTGGGGCCCTGCAGGGTCTGTCTTCCATATTCTGCCTACATGAGGGGAACTCTGAGCCCAGCCTGGTGGACTTTCCTTCATCCAGAACGTCCAGTCCTTCAGCAACAGTCCCCACCAAACCAGGGATCTGGGGGTTGAATGTCCCCCGAAATTTCATGTCCCCCCAAATCTCGGAACGTGGTCCTAGTTAGAAATAGGGTCTTTGCAGACATAATTAGTCTAGGTGAGTTCATACTGGATTAAGATGGGTCTTAAGTGCCATGACTGGTCCCCTTCTAAGTAGAGGAGACACAGATGCATGCAGGGAACGAGGCCCCGTGCAGACAGGGGCAAAGACAGGGCTAATGCGGTTATAAGCCAAAGAACACCAAAGACTGCCAGGAGCCGCTGGAAGCTAGGGAGGGCAGGATTCTTCCCTAGAGCCTTCAGAGGGAGCACGGACCTGTTAGCACCTTGACAGAGGACTTCTAGCCTACAGAGGTAGAAGAGCTAGGACAGTAAATTTCTGTTGTGTGCAGCCACCCTGCCTGCCGCTCCCCCTGCTTGTGCTCTCTCTTTCTCTCGGGCAAACAAATAAAGTCTTTATTTTTTTTTTTTTTTTAAAGATTTTATTTATTGAGACAGAGAGAGTAAGAGAGCAAGGGGCTGGGGCAGAGGGAGAGGGAGAAGCAGGCTCCCACTGAGCAGGGAGTCCCGTGCAGGGGCTCAACCCCAGGACGCTGAGATCATGACCTGAGCCCAAGGCAGACGCTTAATAAATTGAGCCACCCAGGCGCCCCATAAATAATAAAATTTAAAAAGATAAAGAAATCCGGGGTGCCTGGGTGGCTCAGTCGTTAAGCATCAGCCTTCAGCTCAGGTCATGGTCCCAGCATCCTGGGATCAAGCCCTAGATCGGGCTGCTTGCTCCGAGGGAAGCCTGCTTCTCCCTCTCTCACTCCCCCTGCTTGTGTTCCCTCTCTCGCTGTGCCTATCTCTCTGACAAATAAATAAAATCTTTAAAAAAAAAAAAAAAAGATAAAGAAATCTAATTTTTAGATGCTTCCAGAAATTTTAAAATAATTTTAAGTAAACATGGCTAAACAGGGAAGTGAATTTTTAAACTTCATACCATCCAATTCTACCACTACAGAATTTAAGTCTTAAGGTACTTTCCAGGCATTTTAACAACTTTTGTTTATAAGACTTACAGAACGTAGATCAAGTTGTTTATCAGTTATTCACTCCATCTGTGGCTCTGTTGGTTAAGCATCTGCCTTCAACTTGGGTCATGATCCCAGGATCCTGTGATCGAGCCTCCTGTCGGGCTCCCTGCTCTCGGGGAGCCTGCTTCTCCTCTTCTCTCTGCCATTCTCCCTGCTTGTCCTCTCTGGCTCTCTCTCTCTGTCAAATAAATAAATAAAATCTTAAAAAAAAATTATTCACTCCAACTGAGCACCCAATGAGTACAGAGTGTCGACCTCACTACTGAGTTAGGTGACTACTTGTGAAGGAGCCTAGTGCTTGTCCTCAGGAAAAGGTTATGTTGGCCAGCAGACAGCGAGAGCAACAGGAGTTACTAATTTATAGAATTCAGGGATGGTACAGCACTCAAAAAACGACTCTTACTGTTTTATTTAAGAAACGAAGCCTCAGGGGTGCCTGGGTGGCTCAGTGGGTTAAAGTCTCTGCCTTCGGCTCAGGTCATGATCCCAGGGTCCTGGGATCGAGCCCCACATCGGGCTCTCTGCTCCGCAGGGAGCCTGCTTCCTCCCCTCTCTCTCTCTGCTTGCCTCTCTGCCTACTTGTGATTTCTCTCTCTCTGTCAAATAAATAAAATCTTTAAAAAAAAAAAAAAAAGAAACGAAGCCTCAGACGGTTTAAGTATCACACCCAGAATTAGTGGCACAGCTGGGTCTAAAACTCCTATCTTAGAGAATAACAACCAAGGATCACATAGAAATGTGCACAGTAACTGTGATACCATTTTAAGGGAAACTCCCCCCAGGGTGAGCAGAGGCCAGAGCCCTCACTGTTGCAGCTAAGTGTCCCTGCTGCCCTTTGCTATTTAAAAGCACAGCTGACAACAAAGGAGTTCTGATCAGCAGGTGCGGTGGGATATAGCTACCTAGCAGGTAGCATGAAACAACACCCAGACCTTTCAAGATTTTTCTAAAACTCTCTTCCTACTGAATCCTACCATACAGTGTGTATATTAAATGATCAGAAATCAAAGGCCCCAAATGGTTCCAATGTGGAGAAAGCCTTTCCTCAAATCCAACAAACTGTCAATCTCTGTGAATTTCAGCCCAGAGCCACACCACCACCCTGGCCCTGTTGTCCTCAAAACATTCCTCTTCCATCACCAAGATCACAGTCATGTTGAGCTAGAGAGACATCCTCCTGCATTTTGTTACATACCAACTATACACATGACTTAAAATATTTTCTGAAGTTCTTTTTCTGATGTTAGGAATCTGAAAATGAGACATCGAAAGGTCTCACCTGTTTCACCAGAAGAAACTAAGTATCTGCGATGTCTCCAAAAGGAACAGAAGCAGCATGAAGAACTCTGTCCTCCACCTCCTCTGCCAGCCCACCTGCAAAGACCAAATGCCTTCTGAACCAATGCCCTCCACACTCCTGGTACAAGCTGCGGCAACACTGTTAGCAAGAAAGCAGCGGAGAGGGGAAGGAGAGTCCCTAGTGTTTTGGGTATACAACATGACGTGTGAGGAACACTCCTCCCCATCCCCTTTCAGATCTACATCTCGCCTCTGGTTACTCTGATACCTTCATCGCTTCCAGTTTGACTCTCTTTTCTATACAGTCACTAGAATGAATCCAAGAAAGTGCAAATTGGATCACATCACTATCCTGTTTAATATTCTCCACAAGCTCATTAATGCCCACGGGACAGAATCTAAATTCCTTAGCACGGCATATAAGACCCTCCTAACTTGAGCCCTGTCCACCTATCTGTCCTTCTTTCTCCCTTGCTCCCTCAACGCAAATCATTTGCCCCCAAATGTTAAGACTACTTCACCCCTCCAGGGTCTTGCTGCTTTCCGTTCAGGCAACAGCCTTACTCCAGATCCTTCAAACCCAGCTCTGGCCTCTGTGCCTTGAGGTAGTTTGCCCTCCCCTATCCAGATGGAGTGCTCATTCCCCGAAACCCTCAGCTCGACATCAACACTGTCCATCAACCGCTCGCATCGTGGTGCTCACCAGCCCCTGCAGTAAAGATGTTTTCCATAATTCCCCACCTTCTCTGTGAGTTCCTTCTTCTAAGGGGCCAGGACTGCGGAGTTTACGGAATGAATGGGCATGAGAGTTTGGAATGCGGTCCGAGGTCACGATAACAGATCTCACCAACTCTCCCAAGGCCAGGGTCAGAGGGGAACGCGTTCTGGGCAGCGCTGGGCTCAGCAAAGGTCGCGGGCGCTGCTCACAGGCTGGGGGAGCAGAGCCGCAAGAGACCCGCTCGGTTCGCCTCAGTAGAGTCCCCACACCACCTCAAAAACGAACAGCTCGCGCTGGGTGGCAGCCATCTTGCTCCCAGGATCTTCCGCCGGAAGCTGTAGCTAGGCCCTGCCCCAGACCCGCCCCGCGCTGGCTGCCCAAGTCGCTGTGCTCCTGTCGCGGGGCAGGTGGATATTGGTTGGGGGGGTGGGGGAGCACTCAGAGGGTAACGGAGAGCACGAATACATAGCCACATTAACCGCGGAAGTCAGGAAATATTGGACTCTACTTCAGACCCGGCCTTTATTTTATTTCTACATATTTTAATGCTGGTGTGTTTGACGTAATTAACAATGTTATATTTGTTTCTGGTGTACAATATAGTGATTCAGCGAATCCATATACTGCTTTGTGCTCAAGATAAATGTAATCTTAATCCCCATCACCTATTTTACCCAACACCCGCCCCCCGCCCCCACCAAACCTCCTTTCTGGTAACCTTGTTCTCTGTATTTAAGAGTCTGGGGGTTGGGGGAGGGGTTGTTTTAAGAGTTAAGAGTCTGCTTTTTGGTTTGTCTTTTTGTTTGGTTTCTTAAGTTCCACCTGAGTGAAATCATATGGTATTTGTCTTTCCCTGGCTTATTTCACTTAGCATTACACTGTCTAGCTCTATCCATCCATGTTGTTGCAAATGGCGAGATTTCATTCTTTTATGGCAGAATAATTTTCCAGTGTACATATGTGTGTGCACACACATACACACACACACACTTCTTTTTATGCATTCATCTATCAGCAGGCTCTTGGGCTGCTTCCATAGTTTGGCTATTGTTAAGTAATGCTGCAATGAACATAGGGATGCATGTATCCCTTTGAATTAGCATTTTTGTATTTTTTAAGATTTTATTTGCCCATTTCAGAGTAAGAGGGAGCTATCAGGGGGAGGAGGAGAAGGAGAGCAGACCCCCAGCCAAGCAGGGAGCCCAATGGAGCTGGCTCGATCCTGGGATTCTGGGAGCAGGACTTGAGCCAAAAGTAGATCCTTAACTGAATGAGCCACCCAGGTGCCCCAGTATTTTCATATTCTTTAGGTAAATACCCAATGGTGTTATTAGTGGATGGGTAATTTTTTTTTTTTTTTAGTCACCTCCATACTGTTTTCCAGAGTGGCTGCACCAGATGGCATTACCACTCCCAGTGCACAAGGGTTCCTATTTCTCCAGGTCCTTGACAGGTTTCTTATGATTTCAGCCATTCTGACAGGTGTGAGGTATATTTCATTGTTATTTTGATTTGCACTTCCCTGGCGAGCATCTTTCCATGTCTCTTGGCCATCTGTCCTTGGGGAAACATCTGTTCACGTCTGCTGTCATGTTTTAATAGGATTATTTGGTGTTCCTTCCTCCCACCTTTTTTTTTGAGTAGGCTCTGTGCCCAACATGGGGCTCGAACTCACAACTCTGAGACTAAGATTTGCGTGCTCTACCAACTGAGCTAGCCAGGTGTCCTGAGTTGTAGTTCTTTATGTATTTTGGATCCTAACCCTTTATTGGATGTCTACAAATATCTTCTCCCATTCAGTAGGTTGTCCCAGTTGTTTCCTTTGCTATAAGTATTAAGTAAACCAGGCATTTAGTTACTTGAGACCAGACCTTAAAGAAAATGGGAACCCTGTTGAGAGGGAATAATATTCCAAGGAAAATGACCCCCTGGGTAAGGTCCCGAGTGAGGACAATCTGCCACATTTCAAGGAAGGTAAGAAGTATTCCTAGAGGACAGGGAGGGCAAGCAGACTGGTTGGCCTTGACCAGGTGAGGACTAAAGGTACCACCAAGTGCACTGAACTCTAGCATTTGTTCACTGTTGCCACTCTGACCTAGTCCCCTGGCCAGAGGAAACCTTAGTTGCATAATCAACTGACTACAGAAGAGGGGGACCCACAAACGCCAGCTAACACAACCAAGGAGGGAGGGCCTGGGTTCTGCCTATCTCACCATACATCCTTTGGACATAAGCCAACCCCACACTGAACCCAGTTCTCCTGTCAGACCCAAGGTCTGCTATGATCAGACTTCTACTTAAGTTAAGTGGGGGTCCATTATGCAATGGGACAGTTCTGTGTACCCTGCTGTTCATAGCCATTAGGAAAGGATATCCTATACAGAAATTCATTAGACTCTAAATATGTCCTAAAATTACTTCCAAGTGAAAACTGGGCTTAAAAGACTAAAACTGGTCCGAGTAAAACACAACAGGCGGTTTTATGGAGATTTTTTTCTTTATTGAGAAACTTAAGACTTGGGTACATCAAATAAAACCAATTTCTTGGGGGAAAAAATCAAAACCCACAATAGAAAAAAAAAAAAGTTAACACTGTCTGGGCCACAGCAGAACCCAGAGAATATATTCTTTTAATTGAAAAATTCTAGGTGCTTCATAATTGACCTTTTGATACAAAATGACCTATTAAATTTCCCAATTTGTGGTTCATGGTGTTGAGGTCCATAGGACACGCTAGAAATCTTCAAACCTTGAGCTGAATTCCAGGAGGGGTTATTTGGCTTTTGAATCCTGAAAAGCAAAGCACCAACACAGATTAAATGCATGATCAGAAAAACCAGAGTTGCACTGAAATCTCTAACTTATAAAAAGGTACTGCCGAGAGCAGTGCTTCTTGACGCTCGGGTGGGGCAGTTTTGTTGGGACTGTCCTGTGCACTGTGGGCACTGAGCAAGTACCCCTAGCCTCTGCCCATGGGATGCCAGTGACACCTCTCCAGTTGTGACAACCAAAATAGGTCTCCATTGGCAAATGTCCTCTGAGGGGGCACTCCTGGCTGAGAACCCCTGCTCTGAGGCTAGCTAGGTACTGTAAAGCCCCATACCCTTCCAGGCCACCCTGTACTCAAAGCTACTGCTCTCTCGCTTAGAACCAAATGAAGTGTCCAGGCCCTTACCATGTGTCCTTTCTCTTGTCTCTGACTCTGGTTTATCTGGTTGCCTCCTTCCTGCATCAGGAGGAACCCGCTAGTCCTTGTCAGAGTTCCCAGCTAAGCCTCACTTACCCCTGCCCCTGAGGACGGGGCCACAGCTGCCAGGGTCGGAGTGGAAAGAACATGCCCTGTAACTGGAGGCAGGAGTGTGTGTCTCTCCCACACACCGACACCAGGGCCCGAGCCCCTTGTGCTCCCAGAGCCACGCAGCAGCTGCACACACAGCTGCCCTCCCCGACCTCAAGGCAAACCAGGAGATATGTTCACAGAAATGAGGCTGCGGGATCTGATTATGACAACACCTTGTGTATCTGTCATTATTCTAAACCAAAAAGGTCATTCTTAAGAAAGAGCTAACCAGGGGCTCCTCATAAAGAAAACTGTTATTTGCTCCTTACAGTTTACAACCTGTTCTCTCCTCTCCAAATTAACTCTTCCAGATGACAGAGAGAATCCAGGTGATAGCCTGCCCAGGTTACTGGATTATAGGGGCTCTCTATGCTGCCCTGAATCTTTTAGGAAGATATTTGTAAGTAAAGCCATTGCAGAAAACAAAAACAGCCAAACATACGGTTTCTCCTTGTCTAAGAGGTAGCAGCAGCAACAGCGCCCACCTTCTGGGCAGCTTCTTTCTTGGCATGATGAGCCTGTAGAACCGCCACGGCTTCATCCACCTGTGAGGAATCTCTAGGCAGTTAGTGACACCTGCGGAGAGGCCCTCAGCCCCTCCCTGGTACGCAGGCCTGGCAGCAGTGTCTCCCGGTGAGGCCTGCTCTTTCTAATTCCACCCCCACAGCAGCTCGCAAGTCACAGGCAAGGCGGGAGGAGATGGTCAGGAGATGGCAGACCCATGCGCCGCCGCAGGGTGTGGGGACTGGCTCACCTTGGAGCGGAGCGACTCGGGGGACTCCAGCATGTGCAGCAGCTCAGAGTTGTCGATCTCCAGCAGCATGCCCGTGATTTTCCCAGCCAGGTTTGAATGCATGGTTTGGATGAGTGGGAACAAACGTTCTCCTGGGGAAAGAGATCTAATCAAAGCCCAGGCCGACTCCCGGTGAACAGACACCGGCGTTTGGGTCAGTGCCGGGCTCCGGCCCGTCTTCCGCAAACACACGGACGACTCACCCAGCATCTGCTTTTGCTCTTGTGGGGGCGCTGCGGCCAGCATGGAGGCAGTCAGGGGTTCCTGGCCCTGCACGTGGACCGCAGGCTGCGGTGCCTGGGAACCAGGAGAGGCAGCAGGTCAGCAACAAGCCTGATGGTCCTGAGCCTGACCAGTCAGTCTGAAAGCCTACTATGTGACAGAGATGGAGGTGGCGGTCCTTGCTGCCAAGGAACTAACAGCAGGCCTTGGGGATGAGGCAGTTACAGGAGCAACAGAGTTATAAGCCTGAACACAAAACCAACTACAATAAAAACCACGTGCTATTAAAAGGGACAGGAAGGGAGAAGAAAATAAACCTACAAGGCTCAGACCATCAAAGGATTCCATTTATAACTACATCCCCCATCACTTTATCATACCAAATGTTTTTATTTTATCAAATGCCCCAGGACTGTCAACATGAATTGTCAATGCCAGTCACGGGCCTGAAAGTAAGGCTCTGAAGGTAACGACTATTTTACTGAAGCGAAGCTCTGAGGCATCTGCATTTAGACAGCAGGAAGCATGAGCAAGTCACTCAGGGGCCACAAGGCAGACTGTGGCTCCCCTACGCCGGCTACTTCGGGGCTCTGGGTCCAGTCCCCCACCCCAACTTAAGATCTCTAACGCTGACTTCGCTTCTGTCAGATGAAGCCCCTTCCTGCCTTCACGTCCCAGTTTTGCAGAACAGCGAAGGATCACCTCCGCCGGCAGACCCGAGCTGCTCAGGGAGCTAAGCGAGCACACGCACGTTGTAAAGAGGAGGGAGGAAACACCAGCTCTTTCTGCTGGGGCATTTCTGAGTAGGCTACTATGGGGAGGAATACTTCCCAGCCCCTTCTCTCCCAGGACAGAGAGCCCCTGACAGGCAGCGTCACCAGAGGAAACACAGCACCCTGACACGGAGCGGGCACTGAGTACCTGCGGGAGGCATCAAAGCCAGGCACCTTGTCCATCAAGCGCAAA